GTGGGGGGGCGGGGGGGGGGGTCGACTCCAGGGGGAGACGCTGCTCCAGTATCTGTTTACTCTGTAGTTTGATTCAGCAGTTGCTCGGTTGATGTTGAACAGATCGATAATCCCTCTGCACGCAGCAGGTGGCTCTTCCTCCCTCCCTCCTCCTTCCACTTGTTGCTGACAGGCTGCTCCAACCCCTTGTCACTGAGTTTGTTTTTTTTGGTGTTATTATTTATTTCTCATTTTTAAGTGCATGTCTCTGGTGCAGTCCTGCTCCCTCCCACCGCCTCCCAGACTCTCGCTGGGCTAATTTTTTCTCCCCCCTTTGGCTGTCACTGATTTTGCTGCACTCGCTGGTTCTGCGTCTTCCGTTCCCACAGCCTGCACAGCTCTCTCTCTCTCTCTCTCTCTCTCTCTCTCTCTCTGGTGTTTATCATACTCTGACTCCCTCGTTATGCTGCACTCTCTGCTGTCACTGCTCCTCAGGACTTCATTTCAACACTCCTCCCTCAACCTCCTCCTATCTCACTTTTTCCTTCCCTTTTCTCCAGCCTTATCCACACCTTCAATTTTCTTTCACCTTGTATCTGTGGCTGCACCAATCTCCCCCCCCTCTCTCTTCAAAGCAACTCACACCAGGGTTAGAAATGTTCTCACACACACACACACACACAGACAGACAGTATAGCAACTCCAATGCAGAGTGTTTTTAACCAATCTGAGAACTGACATTCAGTCATGAATTCACACACACACACACACACACACACACACACACAGCAGCATGTAATGATGAAGCGAAAGCTCACTCTCCAGTTTAAACAGACTGAAGACTGGAGGAACGGAGTAATAGGAATATTTTATGTGCATATTTTCATATTCTCTCTTAAAAAACTATCTCTGCATCCACAGCGTTTCAGAAACTTCACACGTTCACCTTCAGCACTTTCCACGAGGTGGATTTTTTTCTTCTTCTTTGTTCGACTGCAGATGTGGAACTTTTTACATCGTTGGTTAATTTCAAAAACCAACCAGTTCAAGCAGACCAAAGACGGTATTTATCTTGACCCCTGACCTCCGAAGGTCAGAGGTCATTCAAACTGATTCATTCAAACTCTAACCTCGGTCTCTGCTCAACGTTCAGCCTCTTAGTTAATGTTAAAAAATATAAGTTTTAAAAAATATATTTTACAAAAAAAAATCTAAACAGATTCTCTAGAGATTTTTCGTGACGTTGAATCTTTTTCCAAAACTTAAAATTGAAGCCTGAGGCTGTGAGGGAGAGGACGACTCTGGGGCTGTTTTTTTTTCCTGACTTTACTTCAGTATTTCCGTGAGCCTCATGTTGGACCAACCAGTCGTACAGCGACGCGGTGTTCCCGTCTCTCCGTGACATCGTGTCATCTTCTGTTCCTCCGTCGTTGTTGTGAACAGACGTGGAGTTAAACACACACACACACACATACACACAGTCTGATTCTGTTCTTTCATGAAGGACTTTCATTCAAGGCCTGAACTTGTAGCGTCATAATAAATAATAAGAGAATAAAAATAGAAACCCCTGAACTGAAGGTTGGGTTCTGATTCAGAAACAGCTCAGAGATTAGTTCACGTTTTATCATCGTTGCTTCAGGTTTCTAATGTTTTATAATGAGGGGGAGGGGTGGGGGGGGCGGAGCCAAACCCAGGGCTCCAGCGGAGGGCGGAGCTACAGCTACGACCTGGTCAGTTCATAATCCAATCACAGACAGAGATCCACAACGATTCACACTCACATTCACACCTCTCCTCATTTCAGAGTGAACCATGACCCCCCCACCCAAGGCCTGAACTTGTAGCGTCATAATAAATAATAAGAGAATAAAAATAGAAACCCCTGAACTGAAGGTTGGGTTCTGATTCAGAAACAGCTCAGAGATTAGTTCACGTTTTATCATCGTTGCTTCAGGTTTCTAATGTTTTATAATGAGGGGGAGGGGAGGGGGGGGCGGAGCCAAACCCAGGGCTCCAGCGGAGGGCGGAGCTACAGCTACGACCTGGTCAGTTCATAATCCAATCACAGACTGAGATCCACAACGATTCACACTCACATTCACACCTCTCCTCATTTCAGAGTGAACCATGACCCCCCCACTCACCCCCCCCACAGTGCGTCAGTACGACAGTGGTTCCCCCTCAGTCTTTAATCCTCGTCACACACTGTGAAAACTCCAGTGTTTTTAAGAGTTCTCTCGGATGCGGAGGAGAAATCCTCTGATCAGAAACAGATGAGTTTAATCTGAAATTTAAAGCCACACTTAAACGCGGCTCTGCATTTAAATTTCCCCAAATCTGTGGCTGAGATATCGTCCTCGCAGGAACGAGACAGATATACACTCACGCATAAACATAACGACTGCAGCCACACATAAAAACCCAGCGCCTGCTTCCAACTTTCAAGATTTGTTGCCGACAGTTTCTCATTTCGCCCCGACATCTTTCTGGGCCACGTTCAAACTTATCTCGGACGGAGAAATATACGCACTCAACTCCGGGCAACTCGTGGTTTGTTGCCCATTTCCGTGCTTCCCACACCGGGGCTTCCTGCAGATTTAATCCACATTAACACCACGTGAGTGTGTGTGAGTGTGTGTGTGTGTGTGTGTGTGTGTGTGTGTGTGTGAGCCCAGAGACACAGGGGTGAGGGTCCTCGTTGCGTCCTGACAACAGAGCTGTGGAGTCTGGATGTGAAATGACATGGTGTTAAAGTAAAGAGAGGCGTCAACGACACGTCAACACACACTTTACTTTTCTCTGTTTCTATTATGATTATTATTCTATAAATCAAGTTCAAATTAGACTCTGACTCTGACTCTGACTCTGACTCCGCCTCTGACTCTGACCCTGACTCTGACTCCACCGACATCTGCATTTGGACGCGTGTTGACGTGAATGTTTTCATTCCGTCGGCTGTAAATAGATGAAAATATTGATTTTGCAGCAGGGAAATCCAGCAGGAAATTCACTTGTCAAAACTGCAAAATACACTCATCTGACTGGAAACAGATTCCAGACGAACAGGCTGCGAAAATATGAGGGGATTTCCATCTGTACGTGGGTGCGGGTACGATTCCCACAGATTCTACACCGATCAATCAGAATACGTTTTTACAGCCAATCAGCTGTAAGAAGATTCTAAAAAACCACAGAGGAGCTTCATGTATGTGAGGTTTAAACCTCTTTAGAGGACGATGACGCCACCAGGTGTTCATTAGCAGGTATACACATCACCAACATGTCTTAATACTTTTTGACTCACCCTTGCAGTCCCAGGACTGAAACCAAAGTCAAATTAAAAAAACGTCCAATGTTATTTTGGTTTGTGTCCCTCCTCCCCTTCATCGTCTGCTCCCTCCTCCCCCCACCCTCCCCCGCTCTCCCCCGGCTGTCCTGCCCTTCCCTCCTCTCCTCTACCTTCTCCAGGGCGACACCTTTCTATTAATACCATCCTTCATCTGAATACCCACTCTCATTACCGCTTGTCGCGTCCAAAATGACCCCTCTCACCTCCCCCCTCCCTCCCCTTCCCTCCTCCTCCTCACACTGAAACCCATCCCATAATCACCGCCAACCCCATCCTCCTCACTTTTCTTTTCCTTACTCAAGTCTTTTCTTCTGGGAGGGCCATAAAGAGTCAATAACGTACAAACCCCCGGAGGCGAGCGCTCCTCCAGAAGCTCCGGATGCTTCTGTCTGACTGCCAAAGCAATTAAATCCAGGCCAGTCGGTTTTTTTTGGACCAAATCCTTCCAACCATTTCACCCTCCCTTGTTGTTTTTGAGTCGGAAAACACAAAGAGTTCTCCCATTATTACAAGGCTGAAGCTGCCGTTAGCATCAACACAACAACAGGCTAATGGCCTCGCCGAGAAAATGACGACAGAGAGGAAATAAAAGGAGAGTTGGAAAAAAAAACAATCACTAAAACCTGAAACTGCTTTGAATATTCGTCGAATGAACGTATAATTAAAAAAGATTAGGATAAAAAAAAAGAACTTTTTTATGTGTTGTAAAAGAATCCAATTTTAGCCATAATGTACCAGAGCGAAAGGCTAAACGAAGCTAACGCTAACCAATCCTGTCAGTGCCAGCACAGGCCCCCGAGCCAGATGTTGGAGACTGCAGTCTTACCTTATTGAGGACGATGACGGCCTCGTGGTTTATCCCCGTGATGTTGAACGTGTCCCCGCTCTCTCCATCCAGGATGGTGAACTCCATCCTGGCGTTCTCACCCAGGTCGGCGTCCGTGGCGGAGATGCGTCCGATCTCAGCTCCGGCGACGGCCAGTTCGGAAACGGAGAAGGACCACATACCTGTGGGAGACAGGGAGGAACAGAGTGAGGAGGGAGGTGGGGGGAGAGACAGCCGTCATCTGTCAGCGCTCGCTAACGTTTCATTTGTCAGTCCAACATTCAGTTTGGTCTTTTCACGGCGGCGTTCCTACCTGGGAATTCATCACACTTAATTCCAGATAAGGAGCCATTTATTTCAGGAGAACTGAGAGGATGAAGGAGACGGATTAGGGAGAAAAAAGGAGAGGGAGTTTGTGTGTGAGCTCTCCATTTTTGAGATGTTATTGAAAGTAAGATAAGATGTGGCCTGAAAGCCCGCTGCTAACTGAAGAGAAACGCCAAGATTAGAGACGGAGACGCCGGCGTCTGCTGCGGAACATGACAAGAACTAAGTGCTCATCACAAACACCAACTTTTCCCGGTCCCTGCAGGCGTCCGCTGCGTCCTCCTCCTGCTCACGAGTAAGAAATCCAGATAACAGGCGCCTTTCATGGCGTTTGAACGGCAGTCGTTCTACAGTCAGTGTTTCTGAAAGCGGCACATCCTGAATCCTTCTGCTGCCTTGGCGTTTCACACACTGTTCCACTGCGTCAGAGAACAGATGAGGATCTGGAGACGAGCACGTTGGCCAAACAAATTCACAGGACAGAGACTGAGGGAAGGGAAAAGTAAGATATTTGTTTGTGTCTCTCTCACACACACACACACACAGACTCATTCAAACAACGCTGTTATCTGCACAGCTGAAGCCAGAGGAATCAGACAGACCTGGAGGAGAACAACATCTCACACCAGCACTGACAGAAGAACAGATAGGCAGCTCTCCAAGCTGACGGTCTCAGAGCCACCGACGTGTCCTGACGAGTTCTGACGAGTCCTGACGGGGGACGGGGGGTTATTTTCACTTTGTGGATCAGTTATTACGCCTCACACATCAATGACAACTTTTGGCAACTAAAAATGTCCTGCTAAGATCAAGTCCCGCGGTCTCTGTCAGAGACAGAGATCCAAGAAGAGGACGAGGCAGTTTTTATATCTCCAAAAAAAAAGAAAAAAAAATCACACAGGTGCTTCCTCTCCAACAGGTCTCTGTTGTCAGCGAACACTGGTCCAGTATCAACACTTTTCTGGTCTGCAACCCGTGGCTCCTGAGCCCCACGCGGCCCTTCAGGATCTTTGCGTCGGGGCGACGTTGATGTTTAATATCTGTGAGTTCACTCAGTGGAACGACAGGTGACGTCTGCAGCACTGATGTGTGTCAATAATCCATTTATTAAGTATTTCTCAATTTCTGGCTCCACCTGCAGGGAGAACGGGGAAGGACACGCTCTAGAAAAACACAAGACAACTGTCCCCAGGATTCTGCAGACTGGTTATTAAACTGAGAACAAACAAAGGAATCAGAAACTATAACGCGGCACCATTAGCAGAAATCGTTGCGATGATTTTTCTCAGCCGACAAACACAAGATTGTTAACGCGGAGGTGATAATCACCAGGACAACTCTGAAAACACAGCAGCCCAGGAGGATTTGACGGGATTAGAACAAAGTCCTCCATGATCAACAATAAAACCCCACTGATTCTCTCTCTCTCTCTCTCTCTCTCTCTCCCTCTCTCTCCTAAATTCTCTGCTCTTACCTAATATAACTGACTGTAATTGCTGGGTTATCGTAGCAATTATCTCCAACCTAATATCATTATTTGTTTGTTATTCCTCCATTCGTGCCGACAGATTATCACTGAAGTATCATCTGTGTATAATTGTGTCCCACGCTCTCAGATCTCAGTCCTGTTTCCCTTTTCATCACATCACTGTCGGGTGGAAACATGCCAACTCATTTCCAACCCCCCCTCTCCTGCTGCGTTGTTTTAAAGTTGTTAAATCAACAAGTCGTCCCTTTTCTGGCCGAGGCCAGAGAAAAGTTTCAGGAGGGGAACAATAGGTCAAAGGTCAGCAACAGGAAGCTGAAAAAGCGGCGTGAAAACTAGTTTCAAATATGATCTCCTGAAACCACAGTGAAAGTTGTTAGGTGTCCAAACTAAGGTACTCTAAGTTCCCCCAGACGTTGGAGACGTGTCCTGACGTGTCTCAGACAAGTGCGCAGTAATGACTTCAGTGAATGACTGATTTAATATCAGCCGACAGTGGATTTTTATAACCACGGCGTGTCAGCCACTACTGACGAGTCCACGCTCTCTTAATTTGGCGTCTTATTCTGAAGGGCTGGGTTTCAACAACTTCCCCGTGTCACTTCATTTAAAGGGGAGGAAGATGGAGGGGGGGCGGGGGCAACAATGAGACCAGCATCAGGGCAAAATGAAGACAGAAAACGAAGCGATCTCTACAGCCGCAAAACTGAAAGAAAAAAAAACCCACCACAAATGTCCAGAAGGGCAGATGATGACAGCTTTGCCTCCTGGCCATTTCGGAACACTTCTGGGCCTGGAATCATTAGCCGTGTCTGGCAGCACTCTCCCCACTGGTGTGCGCTTTAGTGTGACAGGCTATTTTCTACACAGCGCTGCTTATTATGGCACGATAGCAGCTCTGAGAGAGAAGTTCCTGCATATGTATCAGCATGTACCGCCGTGTCTTCATGACAGTCCCCAAATATGAAGCACACCTGGAATCACCGGGGACACGGACGATGTCAGTCGCCTTAAATAGCTCATTGGCCTCAGGTACAGGTGGCGCTACACACTTCCTCTACGCCAATTACAAACAGACACAGTCACCGCAGCATCAGGCTGAACTCATGACTCTGAAGACTGGGCAAGTCATTTAGTTTAGTGGAAATACATTATTTTAAAGCCATTAGATGGCGCCAGTTGAAAATGAACAAAATAAAACCTGAGAAAATAAAACAAAATTAAATTGCAACCTGAGTAATTCAAAAACTGATTGACATGTTGGAAAAAAGGACAAGTCCACTGGGGGGCGACACTTCTTACATTAGGTGAAGACTAATTCTGTACAAACATAACTAACTGAAGCAGTAAATCTGCTCCGTTCTCTAAACCCAGCCTTCAGCACAACACAGCAAATATTTCAGGACCAGGAGCTG